AAATTATCTAGTGCCCTCAGCACAGCACGATTTTATAGACTGCATGCTTGATCTTTCGTTGTTTTAAATCAATTCAATTTCTAATCATTTTAATAGAACACTTGACCTTGTATTTGTTACAAATATCTTATTTCTAATGTGTCTAGGTCCACTCCTTTATCTCTTCCTGAGGATGTCTATCATCCTACCTTAGAGATTGCAATGCTCAATTGTAATCCTTTCATTTCGCAAAGGAAATTATTTTTTGCTAAATCAGCTTATTTATGGAACCGATTGGTCTTTCTTATATGAGTCGGTTGATATGAATACTGCCATTAATTTTTTTATATCACCCTAAACCCCCTCTTAGATGAGTGTATTCCTAAGTCAATACCTTCGACTACTTTTTCAAAACCACCCTGGTTTACTGCCAAATTATCACATCTAAAAAATGTAAAATCCAAATATTTTAAAAAGTTTAAAAAGTCTTGTTCGTGTACAGACTTGGCTAAATATTCCATAGCCAAGTCGAACTTCTTTCTTCTTAATTCTCAATGCTATGAGAATTATCTAATTCGTTGTAAAAGGCAATTCGCCCGAAATCCGAGACAGTTTTATAATTTTGTAAACTTGAAGCGTAAATCTTCAAGTTTGCCATCTTCTTTTTTTCTTGGGATGGATAAAGCTAGCAATGACACTGATTCTGCTAACCTCTTTGCTAATTTTTTCCAATCAACTTACTCTTCAGTCTGTCCTAATACTAATTCTTACCCTTATACTATTTCTTCCGCTAGTTCTATACCTCTCCCCATTATTTCACACTCCTCTCTCCTATTAGCTATAAGCTCTTTAAAATCTTCTTAATCTCCTGGGCCGGGCAATATTCCTAGTTGTCTACTCAAGGAGTGTAGTTCTTCCCTTTTTTATCCATTGCTAAAGCTTTTTAATCTATCCCTTGAAACTTCTGTCTTTCCATCTCGTTGGAAAGAATCTTATATCATTCCTCTTCACAAGAAAGGTGGGAAGTCTGATATACAAAATTACAGGGGCATTGCAAAACTGTCCACTATTCCTAAATTATTTGAAAAAATAATCACTTCGAATTTGCAGCATTTCTGCAAATCAGTTGTTTCCCCTGTTCAACATGGATTCGTAATGAATCGGTCAACTACGACCAATCTGCTTGAATTTACTTCCTTGGTAAATGATGCTTTCCTTTCGAAAATGCAAACTGATGTCATTTACACTGACTTCAGTAAGGCGTTTGACTCTGTGCACCATGACATTTTACTTTTTAAACTTGACCGAATAGGATTCCCTCCTTCTCTTTTGCTTTGGATTAAATCTTATTTAAAAGGTAGGCCCCAAGGAGTAATGCTAAGGCTGACTACCTCTAAACGGGTTCACGTTACTTCTGGTGTTCCTCAAGGTAGTCATCTTGGACCTTTACTCTTTACACTTTTTATAAATGAATGTTATATCACATGCCCGTGTACTCATGTATGCGGACGATGTCAAACTTTTTCTATCATACACTAACCCCCTACATCATTCTCGTCTACATGCAATTTGAACGCTATGCAACTTTGGTGTTCGGCCAATCAATTGCATCTAAATTGTTCAAAGTGTATGTTTATGACTTTTAATCGTACTACACCTTATCTTGTCAGTTATACAATCGACAATATCCCTTTGCAACGTATACTAACAGTTAAGGATCTAGGCGTTATTTTTGATTCTAAACTCTGTTTCAATCTTCATATAGATACCATTGTTAATGAGGCAAAAGGTGTACTTGGATTCATTAAACGATGGTCTAAAGAGTTTAACGATCCTTTTATAACAAAACTTCTGTACATCTCTCTTGTTCTCTCTTGAATACTGCTCTTGCATCTGGTCTCCGCAGTATAACAATAGCCGGGATCGTTTTGAATCTGCTCAAAAGCAATTTGTGCCTTTTGCCTTACGAGGTTTAAATTGGGACCCAAATCTTCGCTTGCCATCCTACTCCTTCAGGCTGCTTCTTCTCAACCTTCCGTCGTTAACCAACCGTAGGACAATTCTCGGTGTTGTCCTTCTACATAAGTTGATTATTGGCGACATTGATTCTCCTTTTCTGCTAGGGCGTCTTCAATTCTCTGTTCCGGCTAGACCAACCAGAAATTATCGCCCCTTATTACTATCTACGTGCACAACTGATTACGCTATGCACAATTCTTTTCGCGTGCTATGTAAAAATTATAATAGTTTGCATCACGTTTTCTCTACCGAACTGTCTCTACCCCTAATAAAATCGTTGCTTTCAGGATACCTTCGGGAAGTCGCTGACCATTCCCAGCTATGAGCAGGGGCATAGCTAGCCGGACAGGCTGAAAAATTTTCCCCCACCGTGTCGGTGATTTCCCATTACTTTTCTCTTTGTCCTATCCACTTAACACTCTTTATCTAACTTACATTGCTTTACTTTATTAACAATTTTCTTACTTTCTTTTTTCCTATTTATTGTATTTTCTTTATTAATATAGCAAATTAAGATTATTTTTAATTTCACTTAAGATCACTTTTTCCTACTTACAACCTTCTGCTTAGATGTAGGCTCTAATAGCGTCACTGACAAAATTAGCTGTGAAAAGGGGCACAGCTGGCCGGACTGGCAAATAAAACACCTCCATCGGTCGATGATGCTATTTAGAAAATTGTATCCTTTAACTAGGCTTTTAGCATATAATTATATTGTACAATCTTTTGAATAATGAGGAAGACACTCGTTTTGTCGAGCATTAATAAATAAATAAATAAAAAATAAAAATATACAATTTTTGGCGAATAAAACAATAAGAAATCCGATATAGCGAACGTACGAGACAAGAGTTAATTGCGGCGTCGCTAGCATTGATGCGCTTAAGACAAAGTGCAAAAGCTATAGGAGAGCGCAACAACAGAAGGTACGATGAGCGCAAAGCGATAAGCGCTAGATATTTAACAGCAAATAATATTGAGCTATTTTATGACATGTGCGAAGCGCCCAACAAATCAAAACAGTGATATTGCTTGCCTCGCAGGGCAAGATGTAACTGAAATGTTATGCAAACATAATACTAATTCAATTTTAAGCTGCTAAAACGGAACAACATTCATGATCGCAACAGCCAGTTTTCAGTCTGGTTTTGATTGACAATTAATTCATTAGAGCAACTCAAAGAAAATAACTTTTCTTCATTGGCGCTTAACCAGCAAAAGCCCTACACTTCGTAGATTTTCAATGCCGCGAAAAGTGCAAAGGGCTTAGTGCAAAGTGCCAGAGAAAATTATAATTCATGGACAAAGACATCACAGCCAAAGCTGTAATAAAATTAATCCAATTGAAGTTGTAATAAAAAAGAAATTGCTGAAACACGTATTCATTAATTTCTTATATAGAGGTTCGGAAATAAGTTTGCACCAAGTCAGACAGAACTTAAAAATTCGAACAAAAAAACCTTTGAATCGCAATCATACCGAGGAAGCTTGGATTTTGCGAAAGTGTGAAACAGGTCTCAAATGATTTTTCATTGACCCCCATTTCCACCAAGGAGGGATGAATATTCCAAAGGGTGCGAAACATCCACCAGATGAATTTTGACAAAGATCCTTAACTATGTTTTTAAGGCCGACCAGATGGTAATCAGAAAGTACTTACACAACCGTTTTTCTCCAATTAACCACTGCTGTGGATGGAATTTCCCAAATCGCTGGAGCACGTATTAATTCATTTCTTATGAAGAGCTTTGGAAATATGTTTTAGGCAAATCGGACAAAAATTAAAACATGCCCAAAAAATCTTTTAATCGCACTTTCCTCCGAAAAAAACTTGAATTTTACGAAAAGGGTGAAATATGACTTAATTGATTTTTCGTATTTAACAAAGAAGTTTCAAAAAAGTTATATATATTTTACTTATTGATGATCTATGCACAGTCCTTTTTGTAAGAGCTAGGAAGCTGAAATTTTCACTGTATTTACCTAATGTGATAAAGGTGCGCGATAAGACGGGGTTTCGGGAAATTCAACCCTCAAGTGTGAAGGACGCGAAGGCATTTATATAAAACTTGTTTGCTTACCAATTTCATTTGAGGTGGCTCATACTTTTCGAAAAATTTATTCTTCCTTGGTGGAAATAGGGGTCAAAGATTTGGTGGGTCTCTTTTCGTGCTCAAATTTATTTCCAAAAAACTTTTCTCATCTTTTCGCAAATTCCAAGCTTTTCAAAACATTTTTGGGCGAAGTTTTAAGTTATGTTCGATTTGCATCAAACTTACTTTCAAAGCTCTATCTAATAACTTAATAAAAAAGTATCTCAGCGATTTACAAATTTCCACCCGAGACTGAGGAAACTTTGCGATAAAACTCATATTAAATTTTTGGTTTATTATCGGCTTTAAACTAAAGTTGAATATATATATGAATTTGATGTTGGACGAAGAGGGTTCAGGGTATCCCCTAGTCGGAAGCTCCCGACTAGAACCTCTTACTTATTATACCTATTTTTAAATAGAAGTAAATATCAAAATGGTACGGGTAGATTTCAATTTTCCACGGGATTTACTTAGTGGAAAGGTAATGTCTAAAATTTTTAGCACAAAACGTTCCACGGGGAAGGCCGGCAACACCCGCTAGTGTTATGATAAACTATATTTCATAGATTAATTTGTTATGCTTTTGCACTTATGAAAGAAGCAAATTAAGGCTAATGAATTCCGTCTTAAAGATATTATGAAAAACAAATAAGATTTTAACTTAATTTTCGGCATTTATATATGTTAGCTATATGATATAGTGATCTTTTCCGATGTATGTACTGTATGGCAAAAACTATGCGTTTTGTAAAATAAATTTAAACACATGGTTCTAACGAAAGGCTTTTGTCCCGAAACATATATTTGCACTGATAATTGGTGTTCGGCTCTGGCACTCTCGGTAACATGCAAATAAGAAAGTCCATGGAGTGAACTTGCCCGCTGTGCGACTTAAAACAGTCACAATTTGGGTTAAATAAAGATGCGTTTATTTTTATTCGATCAGCCATTTAATTATTTTTTGTGAATTTAAGATCTTAAGTTACTGCGACATTTTTCAAGGATATCTTTGCGAATGATATTATAGTCTGGGTGTAGCTTTAAGACTTGTTGACAAACATTAACAGCGTTAGCAAACTGTTTTTTCTTCATATTATTAAATGCTAATTTATATCCAATGTGAGGCTTAGAATGGCCACAACTGTCCCAGGCTTTTTGGTATTGCTTGGCAGCATCACTATAGGATTGCAACTTTTCTGCAATGTATCCGGCTAGTTCATAAGCTCTTGTGCTTGATTTATTAAATTCCAAAACCCGGTCCACAAATGTCCCGGCAACATCCAATTTATTGCCATGAATATAAATATCGGCTAACAACAACCAACTTCGCTCCAAGTATTCGGCCTCCTCATAATTCCAACTTAATCGAGCTGTCCGCTTAAGATGATTTTTTGCCCGTTGGATTTGCTTAAGCTGAACTAAAGCCAATGAAGTTGCATACAAAATAGTTACCATGAATGAGTTTCGTTCTTTTTGTATAAGTTCAGTAAGATCCTTTAGTGCTAATTCAATTTGATGCTTTTGCTTCGAAGCAATTAGTAGAAAGTTACGAAAAATTCGACAGCTCAAGGTGTTTTCAACGATTTCCCCAGGTCCAGACCACATTTCTTTAAGCAAACGTTCGGCTGTTCGCAAAGCAATTAGACGCGATTCACTAAATTCGCCAATATCTCCGGCTTCAAAAAGATCATATGCATTGGGTATTTCACCGTCTGGATTAATGCATATTTCAATCATATTGAGCTTAGCTAATTGACCCCATACATGATCCCTGCGAGATAGATTGAAGTATCGTAAAGCGGAGTTCAGATTCCCAGCATACCATTCGAATAAACCCTTGCAATAGGTAAACCCTGATGCATGTTTAGACTGTGAAGTCGCATGTTCAGCACGTTCTAAAAAGGGAACACTCTCAGACAATGTACCAGAACGCCTCATAACCTCAATTAGACGGGCCAAAGCTGTCCAATTGCAAGGCTGAGATAATAACAGCTGTGAAAAATGGTACGCTGCTTTTTCAAATTCCATCTGAAATAAAAAACAGAAATAAAATTATATTATTATATTAATGTCGTTTTATTAAATGTATCTATCCATAAATATAAAAGTGTTTGTTTCAACTGGCTGACTGAATTGTGCGTTGACGCGCCCAGCCAAAACCAAAGTCGCCTTCGTGTTTGTTCAGGTTCGAGACACGCGCGCGCGCTCAGACAGCAAGAAAGTAAGAAATACAAATGACTTGTGCGATAGAACTGTATCGCTGTGTTGTTTTTATTCCCTTGCACAACAGGAAACTGTCATCTTCAATTTGTGCAATTACCATTGTACTGTCTGTGTGTGTATTTGTACGCTCAAGCATTTTTTTCTCAAAAGTTGGTGGCTTTCTTCCTTTTTGAAGTGGTGAGTAATATGAAATAATTTTGCAACGTTTGCCACGTTGTTGCGAAATTCTTGCATTTTAGCTCAATATCATTGGAAAGAGCACCTAAGCGTTGCCATGTGTTCATTTAAAATATTTTGGACTCGCTATTCAAGAAGAGTCAATATCCGAAAAATTGTCAACAATATATTCAGAAATCGATTATTTTGATATGGTTTATGGTCATTTACCCTTTAAGCAAAATGTACTGGATTTCTACCAACAAATAATATTGAAATCCCTTTTCTTGAGTGAGCTTGCGCAGGTCATGCTGGCCACACCGGCAACACCGTCGGTCGAAAGAACATTCTCTGCTCTACACTTTATCTTAAGTAAAAAGCGCAGTATGCAATTGAGTATTGAGTTATAAATATAAAGAGAAGGCTTTTGGATCAAAGGCTCTTTTTCAAAAATTCTGAAGCAAGATACCGAGATACTTCTGCCCAAAATTCAATCACAACCACAAAACATTTTCCATAAGAGCCAACAATAACCATAATCAAAACAAACGACTCGACAATGAAACAAGTAAGAGGTTCTAGCCGGGAGCTCTCGACTAGGCGATACCCTCAACCCTTTTCTTCCAACATCCAATGCATATATATATTCTATTTTGGAAGCTATATGTCAAGTTTGGTGACTCTAGCTCTTATTATTTACAAAAATGGCCCAAAAAACAGGATATCGATATCGATTTTTATCGAACGGAGTAAGTTATCGATTATCGGAAATAAACTCGATATGCGCAGGCACTAGGAGCACCTACATCTAAAATTTCAAGCGTCTAGCTCTTATAGGTTGTGAGATGCTTACATTCATACATACGGACGAACGGACGGACGGAAAGACAGACGGACATGGCTAGATCGACTCGGGTTTTGACGCTGATCATGAATATATATATTTTATGGGGTCGGAGATGCTTCCTTCTGCCTGTTACATACATTTGGATTTTGCACAAAAATAATATACCCTTATATCCATTTTTAATGGGTTCAGGGTATAAAAAGAACACCACAAATTCTTGCTATCCCTTTTTGGCTTGATGCTACAGTCTATTATCTCAGCTGCTGTACCCTTCTAACTCATTGTTGTGGTTTCTAAGCTCTGCTATGCCTTTAATTCGCAAAGGTATGTCTTCTTCCTCTTCACTCGCTTTCAACTTGCAAGCAGCTCGGCAGATGTTTTATAATTTATCATTTTTTGAATAGCAAAGCACGTTTTTTCAAAATAGGGTATTTTAACTATTCATAAGTGATGTAACCAAATAGCACAAACATTCTATATACATTTTTATCCAATGTCTATGAAAAATATAATTTCGTATTTAGTGTTCAACTATTGGTACAGCCATTATTAATTGTTTTCTTGAAACATTGAAGGGAAGTCTATAAACTAAAGAAGATTGCAATATTCTGTTGCGCATGTGACGGCTAAGGCTTTTTCCGTGCGATCGTTTCGTATTCAAAAAGGTATACATTTATATATATAAATGTACCTAATAAAGTTAGAAATATATACAAAACATCACAAGAAATAAAATTTTATTAAATGTGACGTAATAATATATAATGTTGGTGCTCCGTACGCGTAACTCTTTGATCTGAATGACTGGCAATCAAATTTTATACCTATTTGTACCTATTTCGAGATTCGACACCTTAACAACAATTTAGTACTCAAATTGAGTTGTTGTTGTTGCTAGACGATGCCTTGTAGGAACGACAGGGAAACTAGCAACAGACACAGTGGCATTGTCGGTCCCTTTTCTTTGCGCTGGTTTTCCTATGTCCTCATCATAAGTAGCTTACAAACCTCTTATCGATCAAAACGGAGGATGAAGAACAAATGGGGTTTCGTACGCACTGTTGTTGTTTTGAAAGTGATTTGTTGTTGCTTTTTTTTGGGTTTGATTTTGCTTTTGCGGATCAACCCGATCTATGTCTCATGTTTTTAAAAACGATAAAAAAAGCTCAGAGTGGCAGTTCAGCTCTTTCTCTTTATTACTCAATGCTGAATGGCTAAGCGCAGAAAATATAAATTGCTTGTTAGTTTTTAAGCTTAATTCTTAATAAAAATACGCAGACACATACATTAAAATATATAAACTAACTATAAATTATTTGATGGGTGTTATTGTATAACTTTGAATATACGCATGTAGACATACATATATAAAGAAGTAAGAGGTAAGATAGGTAAATAGGGTATATTGTATTTGTGCAAAATGCAAATTTATGTAACAGGCAAAAGGAAGCATCTCCGTCCCAATAAAGTATGCATACTCTTGATCAGCATCAATGGCCGAGTCAATCTAGCCATGTCCGTCTGTCTGTCCGTCCGTCTATCCGTATGTATGAACGCAATGATCTCAGAACCTATAAGAGCTAGAGACCTGAAATTTAAGATGTAGGCCCTCATCCCTGCGCAGATCGAGTTGGTTTTCAATAGTCGATAACTTACTCTGTTACAAAGCAATCGATAAAGCTCGATATCGACATCCTTTTTTTATTTTTTTAGCAATTTTGGTAAATACTTCATAGCTAGAGTCACTTCTAGAATATTATATATATATATATATCAAGTATCTTTCATTTTATACATTTCGACACCTCCCCGCTCACACCGCAGAACTATAAATTAAGTTATTAACCCAACTCATTTTGCCCACCAATTTAAGCCACAATTGTAATTATAAATTATATTCTACTCCGGCACTTAACCGTTATCATTAAACAGTTGATCTTTTATTGCTGAGTCACAAGGCCAATATTGGAACACGTGCAGTGTACATTACGAATATAAAATAATAAAAATAATAAGTTAATCACTAATAATAATAGTAACAGTGAGTTAACAAATGCAGTTTCACAGTGAACACTACAACAAGAAACAATAAGCTGCAGAAGCTCTTCGGCCAGCGAAGACTGCGGCGAAGGGAGCGACTACGAATATCATGTGCGTGACTGCCGAATTTGACCCGCAAACGTGGCTGGTGTAGCGAATAAAAATAAATCATAAAAATCATGTAAGTGGGCACTTTAGCCATATCTGTTATTAAATCTGATTGAATTAATAAATAAAATAAATAAATAAAAAATAAACAAAAGAAACAAAGAGAGGAGAAATCTTGCATGCGTTATACTTTGCAACAAATTATCTGCTAGAATAAGAACAAAAGTTTTTGAGAATTCGATTTGACGCACTAAACAAATTTTGAAACAAAAAAAAAAATACATTGTGTTACTTTTTATGCCACTCTAAAAATTGTGCTGCAACGGCACATACTTTCTTGCTTATACGCTTCTCGTGGTTCAGAGCTGAGGCGTAATTCGACCCATCTTTCGACTTTTTGTTTTGTTTTTGCGTCCGCTAGACCGCGCGTGCATTTATCTGTTTAAGCTTTAAATGTCAATGAACTCGTCTTTCGGGCACAAGGATAATTTGAAATAATTCCAGCAAACAAGTCCTTATTTAGTAAAGGTTTCATTAAATTTTATATTAAGTCGCTTTTTGTTAAAAATTCAGCGAATCTCTCAGAATACATGCGTGTGGTAGAAGAAACGTTCAAATTGAATGAAATGTTCCCACAGTCGCATATGAAAAAGCTTCTAAGCGTGGATGCAGATCACCTCCGAGATTTACTAGAGCCGTTGGGCGTGCACCTGAGAGTGGCCAGGAGCTTAGACTTCTTAAGTTCCATGTTGAAGGTTGTGGCAGGCACACCGGATGCCGGTGATTTAGAAAAAACTCGGTTTATTGAGGCACAATTAATTAATTCAAACAATATGTAAATAGAAATAAACACAAGAATCCAGGTACAAATTAATCAACGTACTTCTTCAGTCAATCAAATTCTCAAAACAACTAAAGACACTCAAGCCGATACTGGCCATTTATATGAGACACTGCTAGCCAGAAATCGAATGTTAATGATGGAGTTTCAAAATCTAATGGTGGCAATAACTCTTGCAAAGGTTAACATTGCCCAAACCAAAGACAATATAAACACTAAGATGAGTAACGCCATACAACAAAATGCTACTATGCAGCTTGATTTTTTGAAAATTGAGAACGAAAACGAAATCTGTAGCATTGCGCTCTCACAGCCGAGAGAACGAAAAAGCTAAAACTAGAAATTGGTCTCAGCTTCGGCTCTGTGACGGCCGTGCAAGTAATTATGTTTGTATGCGTGTGAATATACATACATAACAGCATATCTGAATGTGTTGTTATCCACTGCTCTGGCAAAGTCTCTGGCTGGCAAATAAACAATTTTCTTAGTTTTTAAGCGCAGATCACGACCTACCCAAAATTTCTGTTGATATATAGGTATATATAGGATAGGTCATGATCTGCGCTAGAAAACTAACTAAATTAATTTCTTGCCAGCTAAAGCCAGAGCAGTGAATAACAACACATACATACTTTAAAGATCTTATGCATGTATAATTCACGCATACAACGGAAGGTGCACGCATGCTATTGGCTGAGACAAGAACTTTTCTCGAGCATACACTGTCCAAAAAGAAAAGTGAAAGCAATCTATGTGTGCTATTTTCTTAACATAGTTATTGCGCAAGAAGCGCCTTGTGTAAAAATTATATAA